GAAATGAGGTATGGTTAAAAATGCCCGGGGGGACTGAGTCGGGGGGAACTGGGTGGGGGAGGACAGTTTCAGCACAGCCATGGGACCACCTTCCAGATGTGATTGAGAACAGCACACTGCCCCGATGGCGGAGGAGTCCCCATTTCTGACTAGTCACCTGTGCCCTTAGGGCATTCAGCCGAAAATTCCATGCCAATACATAGGGTGTTCATTTGGGGGGAGAATTTTTTTTCCACTGGCAAGGACTTCACCTCTGACAGAAAGATGCCCAGATATTTACACAGGAATTTCTCCTCCTTTATCTTTTCCTAAATCCCCACCTAGTAGATGTTTACTGGTTCCATGATTTTGAGAAAGTCACTCCACCATCCTGGTGGAAATAGTCGGACAAGACTTGGTCAACTCTGAGGCCATTCTGGGGCCAACACTCTAGCACGTGTGAGGAATCTCTTCTCCTGAGACGCCGAACTCTTCATGGGTATGACCTGCCCGGTGTACAGAGCAAAATTGGCACAGGTCTTCTAGTCAGGCTAGGGTTTAAGTCCTGCTTCTGCTTCTTACCAGCTAGATGGTCTTAGTGTCTTTGTCTGTAAAAACTGGAGGTTAGAGAATTCTCTCTCACAAGACAAATGCAGAGGAAATTCACGGGACGATACTCAGCACAAGGATCTGGCATTTGGAAAATACTCAGCAAAAAGAGTTTTTCCTCATCCTCCTTTCTTTTTGTGTAGGACAATCCATTTCCCAAACATTTCCACATGGGAAATTTTACAAATTTTCATGGCCAAATTTTCCCTTTCTAAGAATTTAAAGATAAATGGTGAGTGCTGTGAAGTGTGTAAACCTGGCGATTCACAGACCTGTACCCCTGGGGAAAAAAATATATGTTTATAAAAAATTTTAAAAAATGTAAAAAAAAAAAAAAAAAGCTGAAAACCATGACAAAAAAAAAAAAAAAAGAATTTAAAGATAAGCTCAGGTGTCATGTCATAGGTAGAAAGAAATTCCCAGAAAAAAGCAAAACTGTTCTTTAGAGGCTGTTAATAGTGGGCTGATGTATTTATTTTATTTTGGTATAATTTTTAATAGGAGTGGGTAGGGAGAAGCACAAAATCAAATACATGTTAAAACATCACCTTCTAAGAATAACCTTTTCTCATGGACTCAAGATGAAAAAAAAGTTAATGAATATTTGCTTTCTGTAAATCTGTCTCTCTTACGTGTTAATTCTCCTACTCTTGCTCATGGGGAGTTTTTGGCCCTCCTGCCCAGACCAATTGTTGGCCAGCTCTGATATGAGACAAGATCGCTATTACAAAGCAGGTGCTCAGGGAAGACAAGGAAAACAGGAAGGAGAGAAAGCATCATATCCTCTTCCCACTTCTGGTCAGACGATGCATATTTCTGTTGTAAGGGTATTTTAAGCCAGCGGTTGCCAGCCCTGCATTCCTGGAGCCCCAAAGTACTAATTAATTAATTCTAGTTAAAATGTTTTCTTAACAAAATGTACTATCTAATGAAAGCCAAGGTGTGGGGAAATAGGCCCCATCACCCACAGCAGGTTGTTATTAGAACAAATCTTTCTAAAAGCAATTTGGCAATTAAGTATCAAGTCCTTAAATGTTTGTGCTCTTTGACCTGGAAAGTCTCTTTCTGTTTTAACTAGGGAAAAGGGACACATGCCCAAAGCAGCCTATCACAGTGTTGTGCTATAATAGTAAAATATATATATTTTATATATTATATATATATAATATATATATATATATATTTTTTTTTTTTCAGGAACAACCTACTGACATGAGAACAGTTATATGCACAATGGAACATCCAACAGAGGGATGGAGCCTTTACATGGTCAGAACCTGAGCCTAAAAGCATCCATACAACCTCATTTCAATTATTTTCTTAAAATAAGAAGTGAAATATGAAATCTTCATAATTCAAAAGGTCAGGAAGGAAAATATGCCAAATATTGACAGTGATAGTAAGCTTTTGGTGATGGGATTTTGAGGGACTTTTCTTTCCTTTTTTACTTCTGCTATTCTCAGGTTCGTCCCAAGGACCACAGTATGTAACTTCTCTAATTAGCCAATCATCGTCCTCACCTTTTATAAGCGAACACAGAGATAACAGATGAAATCGCTCTGGTTTGGGAGAAGACTGGGAAGGGGCTACTTAAGATCAAAGCCAAGATACAGGCTATCAGTTCCCAGCAAGGATGGGGCCTCGTCCCGTCCTCCACGAGTTGGCTGGTTCTTCCCCAGGATCTCCGTTCTGCTCAGACACCAGAACAGGGGGCACTTCTCCCAGGGGCTCTGACATCCTTAGTGCTGATATTTCACCTCAATGTGGTCGTTCTCATTCTTAGTGCCAGGATGATTATTTTTTAAGTGAAATAACTTTTTTTCAGCATCTAGCACCTATGAGGCACTTTCTAGGCACAGGCGCTGTGTCGGTCCTTTTTATGTCCATACTCCACCCTCTCTCAGACTTGCGAAAGCTCTTAGTAAAAGGAACTATTGTCTCTTTTCTATTTTGGCACCCCCCCTCCCCCCTCCTTTCTCCTACCCACACAGAGAGTGCCTTCTGGGGACATAATTGATTTGGATGAAAGGTGAAATGGGCAGACTGGGCTGCCCTCTGCTACAAACAGAGCCTCCACACTGCCTGAAGAGTTGACTGGAGAAGTATCTTCAGGTGGACAGGACAGAAAGGTTCTAGAAGGAGGGCACTAGAGAATCCCACAGGCCTTCTCCCTGTGATGTGGCTTAATTTGCTTTACAGGCTTCAGGCGTATTTGCTGATGTCAGCGGCCTGTCAGAGTTTAAAATAATAATAGTGAATAAGAAAACAGCCCTTTTCTGCCAGGCAGTCCTGTTCTGCCAACTTCTGTGTTCCCTTTTGAGTTAATAAACATCTAAGAACCACCTCCCTACCACTCTAGGGGACTGGGGGGCAAAAAACCACAATAATTTTAAAAACCACCAGGTCAGCCCATTGCCAGCATAAACCATTCAGACAAGTAGCGTTTGTCACACTCTAATGAGGATTTTACCTCTGCCTCAAAAGGGAAGCTATCATTAGGTTTTGTGTTTACCAAATCAAATGATCGTCTAGGGACAGTGGCTTTCTTTCGGTCCCCTTCTCATTTTAATCATGCTCAAGACCAAACGCATAGACATTTTCTGCATCTGACGAGACTAAAAAACCATAATTATGCCAGCTAATGTCTTTTGAAAACATCAATTAAGAAAACGGCCATTTCATTCTCATTTTACTTGAAAATCTGAAATATCCACGTGTGTTGCAATAGTGCGGGGATGGGAGGGCTGTCTCCAAAAAGGAGACGGTTTAATTGGTTTAAGGGGGTGAGGTGGGCAGGTCCCCGCTGGCAACAAGTAGACAGAGAAGCCCTCCAAGGAAAAGAAACTTCTCGATAAAGCAAGACATTTTAAGTTTTCACTTGTGGTGTTGAAACTGGAGCCTGCCTCTCCATTGTTAGGTGGATACCGGGCTTCTGGAGAAGGCTGGCCCCACACACACCCCATTGTTAGGACCTCCTCAGGAGAGATTAGATCCCACATTCCTCAGAAGTATGGAGCTCCAGAGGGAACGCTGCCAACAGGCTCCTTCCACAGGGCAACAGCCAGCTAAAACTGATCACTTCTGTTGAAATAACTGGAACAATTACACTGCGTCCCCACAGGGGCTCGGTCACCAGCTAGCAAGAGAGAGGTGTCACACTTGTATCTCCGGGCATGTTCAAAGGTATGAACCAGGCAAGAGTAATTCAAGTCATCCTTATGCTCCACTTTCCTATGTATTTATCTACGGCTGCGTGCCCCGGTTAATCAAATTACTCACCCAAGGTGTACTATTAGACTGTTCTATTTTATGTTTTCTTTCCGGGAGCCTTATCTGGTAAACCTTGATGTTTGCACTTTCCACTTAGGCTTGGACAAGTAACTACTGAATCTTTGACCAAAGCTACTGAAGTTGGACTTGGGTTGGGGTAAAATACCTTGAGGTCATCGTTGGTTTGAATCATATAGCTTGGTTCAGAAGCCTAACACTAACAAAGATCTTTGCTTTCAAGTCTCAGTTTCAACCAGAGTACTCATTAAATAGCAACTTCAGTCGCACTTCGCTTGAATTCTGCTACCCCCCCCCCCTTTTTTTTTCTTCTTGGAGTAACAGTGATTTCGTACATGAAGGGACAGCAGAAGTGGAAAGAAAGGACAGTGCAGGTCCCTTTGCAGCAGCAAATCCCAAGGAGCCTCGATTAAACTGTAACCAGGGATTGTGTCTGCCAGGCTTCTCTCAAAAGCGTTATGTTTGGCTTTTGTAATAATAAGAGGTTATTTTAGGGAAGGGATTCTATCTGAACACACACTGTATTTGCAGAGAGGAAATGCAGCATTAGGCGGCCACACAGCTCAGCCTCTGAAATAAAGTAAGACAAGCAGTTTAGCAGATGGGCAATTCCCCAATCTGCAGAAATGTAAAGAGCCAGGATTTGGGTGCCTGTGGGTTTTATCAGAGATGTAAGTAAGGCTGAGACCAACACCAGTGCTCCTCTTTGGCTAGTTTTAACACGTTCACAGTCACAATTAACATTCAAGGAATTTCCTTTTCATCCAAGAGTTTCTTTTAAAAGCACTTTGCACCACAAACTGAAGTTCTAGCTGCCATCAGTCCTTCCCATACAGAAGATTGCTGAAATCTTCATAATACTTTTTTTTTCTTTTTTCTTTTTTTTGAAAATGGGTTCGGATCACGTCAGTTTCCCTGGGGCTTTTGTTTTCCAGTACGGGAGGTTCTCACCACCTTCCTCCCTCCTTCCCCTGAAAGAGCTTGGAACGGAGACCTGGCCTCCCTTTTCCCGCACCCCTCAGTACTCTCTGGGGAACCAGAGGCGCGCAGGACAGGCGTCCCCAGCACCCCCCCCCCGGCTCCCCCCTCCCCGGGCCAGTGGGAGCGCTGCTCCGCGGCAGGGGTCCCCGGCCCACCCCCAACCTGGTTTCAAGTCCCTGAGCCGGCCATGCCAGTGCTTTCTGCGAGGAAGTGGGGAGGGTCGTCCCCCTGTCCCACCCTGCTCCCCTTACACAAGAGATTCGCACACTGGCACCGAGTCCGAGTCCTGGCTGTGCATAGAGCTCAGCCCGGTATCCGAGTCCTCGTCGTTGCCGGGACAGCTCTTGGCCAGCCCGCGGGCCTGATCCACCCACACCTCCGCGCGGCCCTGAGGCCGGGATTCCCGGGAGGGATCGCCAGAGTCGAGAGTCCCGTCGGGCGCTACCGTCAGCTCCAACGTGTGCAAAGTCTGGAGAAGGCCCTGCAGCTCGCGCTCCTTGGTGTCCCACTGCTGCTGGCTGTAATCCAAATCCGACTTGACAGCCTCCAGGTCCGTGTTGAGCCGGAGCCCGATGTAGAGGCTGGTGCTGAGCTGCGTCCTGACCCGCTCCTGCTCCAGCAGCAGCTCACCGTCGTGGCTGCCATCAAGATCCAGGGGTTCCTCCCGCGCCGCGAGCTCCTCCTGGCGCCTCCGCATCCACCTCTGGTTCAGCTCCTCCTGAATCTCGGCCGAGAGGCGCTCGAGCAACTCCTCCTGCTGGGCTCGCTGCTCCTGCAGGCGCAGCAGGTCGTCGCACCGCCGGGCCAGCTCCTCCAGCGCGGCCGCCTGCGCCTCGCCGTCCAGGGGAGCCGCGGCCGCCTCCGGCTCCTCTCCCGGGCTGGGCCCGTCCACCTCGATGCCTGCGCCCACCAAGTAAGTGTCCTGCACGTAGTTGACTCCATGTCGCCGCATGCGGTCCAGGTGCACCTTGGCCTCATAGCGATCGATCTCGCGATCCAGTTCCCGGAGCCGCTGCACCTGCTGGCGGATGGTGTGGTCCTGGGAGAGCACCAAATGCACCAGCGTCTCCATGCGCTCCACGGATGCGCGCTCGGCAGCCCGCGGCGAAGACGAACAGGATGAAGCGGTGGACGACGACGTGGACGAACAGGGTGACGACGGCTGCTGCTGGCGCCGCCGGTTGAGCTTGGCCAGCTTGCGGAAGGCCTTGCGAACCACCCGCCGCTGTTTCTCCTGGGTCATGGCCAGGCTGGGCCGCGCCGGGATCCCCCGAGCCGAGCAGGGGCGCTCCCGACTGAGCACAACGCGTGCCTCGGCGCTGCGGGGGCCCGCGTTGGGTAGCGACGCCTCGCTGCGCACCAGCACAAAGCGCACGTTCTCTTGCTCGTCGCCCCAGGCGGCCCAGAGACGCAAGATGCGCGTCTTGTTGGGCAGGATACGCTCAAAGCCCCGCCACTTCTCCACGATGCAATAGCACTGCGGGGGTCCGCACAGCATGCCTTGCGGCAGCGCCTCGTCGTCGTCCTCGTCGTCCTCGTCCAGGAGTTCCCGCAGCTCCTCCCGGCCTGGCGAGTCGCTGGCCGCCCCTCGCCGCCGGCCCCGCCGCTGCTTCCGCGGCCGCCGGCAGCCGTCCTCCAACAGCACCCGCACCACGTCGGAGCAGGTGGTGCGGCGAGAGAGACCAGACACCAGCTTCTCCTCCTGGCAGATCCACACCGATATCTTCTTCTCCGAAGGATCCATGGCGCAACCGGGACGCAGGTGGCGGGTCGGTCTGGGCCCCGGCGGGGTGGCAGAGGGGGAAGGTGGGGGACGGGCAGCCAAGCAGCTCTGCGACGGTTTAGGAGCCTAGGAGCCTCGAACCGTCGGCACAGGCCCTTCTCGCCGATTGCGCACGGACTCCGTGGCAGCGCTCGGCCCGGACGGCGGGCTTTTCTCCCTGGGCTGTGCGCCCGGGATCCGGCTCTTTCGGCTCTGCCCAAGATTCCCGGGGCCTCCAGGTTTTGCTCCTCCCCACGTGGCTCCTCCCCTGCCCGCCCCCAGCGCCCAGAACCCAGGCCGGAGCGCGGGAGGGGCAGCGCCCAGACCCGCCCCTCGCAGCCTCGCCGCGCGGCGAGCGCACAGTGCAACCCCTTTCTCCCGCTGCCGGAGGCGGGGATCTCGGCCCCTTCAGGGGACGCGCCGCCCTGTTTCGCGTCCGCACGACGGCGGTCTCGGAGACCTTTCTGCTCAAGAGCTGGAGCCCGTGCCTGAGGGCGGGGGAAATCAGCGCTGCGTCTCCCTCTGCCCACTGGCTTCCCTCCTTTGCGTGTAGAGCTAGCTGTACGCACCTTGACTTTCTCGCCTTTCCCGGCCCTCGGTCCTTCAAAGCCGCGCTGTCCGGGAAGTGCCTTTTGCGCGGACCAGAAAACCAAGATGCACAGCGTCTCTAACTGAGCCTCTCCCACCGCAGCGCGTGACCTCCAGCTGGGAGCTGTAAGCGCCGCGTCTAACGCGAAAGGCCTCCAGCCCTCCTCATCAGGAAGCAATATTTACATATTTAAGAAGTAGATAGCCCTGTGTTCCATGAGCCAGTGTAGAGGTGGAGAGGTCTACGCGTTGAGTGGGATCTTCAGAGGCCGCTCCACGTTCCCTGCAGGGTCAATGTCGGTGGCTCCCTATATAGCCTTGGCTTCGCACACCCTTCTTGGCCAGAGGCACCTAATTCTAGCAGGATTTCGGGGCCTAAACCCCAGTGACAAGCTCTTTTCCGCCTTCCACCTTCATAGGAGAACACTACTAGTCAGGACTGTGACAGTTTCTGCCATATCCAGTATTCATATGTGGTCCAGAAAAGAAATAAGTTTCACAGCCCCAGAAATCCAAGACCACGGCATAAATGAACTTTTTTTCATCCTCACGTGTTGGTGAGGATCTGCAAGACTTGCCCTCTGCCCATGTAAGCACAGGTCTGATAAGGTCACTCCCTTACTTTAAGACCTTGGATGGCTGCCATTGCCCCTGGAATAAAGCACTTTTCTTCATTCACTCATTCACTCAGTAAGTACTCATTGAGGAAGCACCAGCTCCAGATACAAATGCTAGCCATTTGGAACTGAACTTATCACCGTCTTGGCCAGCAAGGAGCTCACAATGTACTGAAGACCCCAGCCGAGTCAACGTGTCCAACACAGGGTCTCCTGTGCTGTGATAAGGGAGGTATGAGTTGCTGGGAGAATGCTGGAGTAGTATCCACTGAGCCTAGGAAAGGCAAGGAAGACTTCCCAGGGGAGGTGGCATCTTACCCAAGGCCAAAAGCCCCATTTGGGTCAGCCAAAGGAAAAACAGAAGGAAGAGGCAGGCAGCATTCCAGGCAGAAGGAGCTGTAGTGTGGAAAGTCAAGAAATCGAGAGCATGACAGTTACTCAAGCTACAGGGAGCTGAAGTGAGAGGAGTGTGGAAGAGTGAGGTCAGATGAGTGAGCAGAAGCTGGGTCTGGAAGGGTCTTTAATACCTCGCTTGGGTATTTGAACCTACTCTAAGTGCAGTGAGAAGTGACAGAGTGTGGATTCTGAGTTCAGACTGTCTGAACTCTGACCCCTGAAAATCTGCCCCCTGTCACTTACTAGCTTGGTAACCTTAGGAAAAGTATTTTGCCTTTCTGAGCCTCAGTTTCTTCACCTGTGAAATGGTGATAATAAAAGACCCATCTAATAGGACTCTTACAAGGATCAAATGCTGAGACCTGGCAAGTCTGCCAAGGAAGTTTTGTTGGACGGTTAGAAACAAGGGGGTGCGTTGGTTTTCTAGGGCTATGGAACAAATCACCATAAATTTAGTGGCCTGAACTAACACGCACTTATGAGTTCGTAGTTCTGGAAGTCCGGAGGTCCAGTGTGGCACGGCTGGCTTCTCTGCTCAGGGTGTCCCAAGGCTATAGGCAGGCTGTTGGCTGGGTTGTGTTCTCTTGTGGGGGATTTGGGAGGGAACTCACTTGCAAGTTCACTTCGGTTGTTGGTAGAATGCAGTTCCTTGCAGTTGGAGGAGGGAGGTCCCTGGTTCCTTGCTGGCTGGCTGCTGGAGCTTGCTCTCCACTCCCAGAAGCTTTTCTTAGGTCCTTTCCACACGACCCACTTCATTTCCAAGCTGGCAACAGCATGTTGAATCCTTCGAAAACTCCCAGGCTTTGAGCATCTGTGACTTGCCCTTTACTCGCTGGAGAAACTCCCTGCTTTTAAAGGGCTCACTTCATTAGGTGGATTCACTGGGCTTATTTCTGTTTTAAGGTCAACTGATTAGTTAGCCTTAACTCTATCTGCGGAATTCCTTGTCCTATGCAACATAACGTAGTCCCCGGAGTAACATCAGAGGGGTGGAGATCATAGGGCCATCTTAGACTTCTGCCTACCACAGAATGTAACACCATCATCTGAGTTTGAAAACTCACTCTGTTTGCATTGGAGGTGATAGTGGGGGTAGGGGAGATGAGAGGCAAGGAGGCCCTTTAGAGAACCTGTCCCCTTCCTCCCAGGAGGGGATGGTGGCCTGCACCGAGTGAAGGGGCAGTGAGAGGACTGGACAAAATTGAGCACTGTCAGGGAGGCGGGCCTTGGTAACAGATCAAGGTAGATTTCCCTCTTCCTCGCATGGTCTCGAAGGTCTCTGATAGTCTGGCCCAGCCCACTCCCCCATTCCTCTCTCACAGGTTTGGATATCCCCTCCTCCTTACCCCTTCCCATGTGATGGTTAGAGCTTTGTTATCAGCTGTGATCCTGATTGGATATGAAGCTCTACAAAGGTAGGGATCATATCTGTTTCGCTCATTTTTGAATCCTCTGCAATTAGTACAATGCATGGCACATTCTAGGTTTACCCAGTAGCTGTCAAATAAATACATGCATGAGCAAATGAGTGGATCCTACATTCTAACAAGTCAGCACCTTCCAGATCACCTGACTCCAAATATGTCCATACAGCTGCTTGCCACACAGCTCTACTGAAGTGTCCCCCCACAAACACCCCAAACATTTGTGAAAAAAGATAAGCTGAACCCAAACCTTTCTTCCCGAACCTGCTCTGCCTCCAGAACCTCTGTCTCAGAGAATGAATAGCCCCACCATTCAGCACCGTGAGATCTGAAACTGAGGAACACCCTCCATCACCCACCACTCACCTCCTTTCCTACAAGATATTGAAGTTCTATGAGGGCACGGATTTTGTCTGCTTTGTTTTCTGCACGCAGTAGGCACTTGGCAAATGTTTGTGGAATGGATGGATGAATGAATGATCGCCTTAGATCAGACCCTCTGTACTTCTTCTCTGGAACCTGCACTTTCTTCACTAGTTTCCTTGTCTCTGGTCTTGCCTTTCTCCCATACCCCCTACTGACGAATGTTGGATGGCCCCCACTAACCCCAGCAGAGTCTTGGGATCTGATGTCCGCTCTACCCCCAGCCCATCCATTCTGCACAACCCCCTTGTTCAGGCCGTCCTCTCTGACCCCGCTGGCTAATTCCTTCCCACCCTCCAAGTTTCAGCTGAATGATCACCTCCTCCCAAAAGTCAACAACATCCTCTCCAGGAAATAATCCAAGCAAAACTGTGCTTTGGGATGATTAATTCACATCAGTAGGTGGGAATAATTGAAGTTATGATACACTTTTGTAGGAAGAAGGCGGGGCTGCAAAGGAGGGTAAAGAGTGGACTTAACACTCAGACTGTGGTCCCCTAAACACCTTCATAATCACAGAGAAGATGCCTCCCCGCACATCTTGGACCTTCTGTCTTAATCCTCAGGGTTGCGCTTTCCAGCACGGAAGCTGCCAGACGTAGGTGGCTGCCCAGCCCTTGGAATGTGGTTATCTGAACCGAGATGGGCTGTGAGTGTAAAATACACACTAGATGTCAAAGACTCAGTCCAAAAAAGTTTTAATATCTCATTAAAAATATGCTATATTGACTACCTGTTAAAATGACACTGTCTCAGAAACGTTAGGTTAAATCCTTAAGATTAGTTTCCTTGTTTCTTTTTACTGACTCTTCAGTGTAGCTTCCAGAAATTTAAAAGTGCCCAGGTAGCTCACGTTGTGTTTCCATTGGGCAAAGCTGTCTCTGGAAAGGCCCCGAAACTTGGAGCAGAATGCGTGAGCCTCTCCAGGTGGCGTTACCCTAAGTGTCCCAAACAAGTGAGTATATGTCGTGGGTTATGGCCGTCTCCAGAGAAGGCCATTGCATACCTTCTCTGGATTGGCAGTTGGAATATTTCTTTTTGCTTTATGATGGCCCCTAGGAAAGCTTCTTGCTGCCGCAGAAGCCAGTCCCCTTAGGCAGCCGAAGAAGCCCATTCTTGAGTCTGCCCTGCAGCTGGACCCCATTGAAAGCACACACTGTTGCTTTCTGGACAGCTGCTCAGCATCCCGGCTCATCGACCAGCCCTAACGGAAGAAGTGGCGATTCAGGCAGTGCTCTGAGCCAGAAAAGACACAGGCTTCATAACAGAAGAAAACGTACAAAAAGATATTTATGACCTGGGGGAGGCATTCCTAAAAAGGACACTAAAAAAGCAAAATTCATAAAAGAAGGGGTCTATAAATATGACCACATCCAAATCTGAAGCTTCTGCTTGAAAAAAATACACGAGGACATCATAAAGAACCGAGTAAGTGGCCAAAGAAACATGAAAAAATGGCCAAGCAGACCAGATATTGGAAAGATGCAAATTTCAGTAAAATGAGATGCCCTTTCTTTGTTGGCAGATCAGCAAAATTTTTTAAATTGGCAATAACACTATTGGCAAAGACAAGAGGTACATTCTCTTATACACCACTGGTGTAAATCAGTACACCTATTTTTGAGACAATGTGGTAATATCGATTAAAAAGAAAAAATAGGCATACCCTGTGTCCCAGCGATTCCGCTTTATATTATCTAAGAGAAACGTACGTACGTTCAGGAGGCAGGCACGGGGGTGGGCGCTATACCATTTTTGTTTA